TGTGAAGCAATTAGTGTTCAATATTTAACATACAATTTTTTTTTTTTTAATTTTGAACTAAAAATAATCCTAAAAAAATAATTTCTGGAATTTAAAAAAACAGTGAAAAAAATCGCTAGATCCGAAATTACGTGGGCATTAATTAATATTCATGTAATAGACATAATTTATACAAAAAAAGGTTCTGCCAAATACCTATATTTGAAGTTTTTTGAAAACTTTGAATGTGAATGTAGACCTCCTTTTTTTTCAATTCCACCTCCAATCTTCTTTTATGCCAAAAATATACTTTGAATTTTGTGTTTTTTGAAAACAAATTAGCTTTGTGGGTTTTAATGGCGAAAATTATTTTAGAAAAAGCCTGAAAACAAATTCCGAACCCCATATACTGATCTTTTGAAACTAAGGGATTTTCAGTTGTTAGGTACCATATTGTTCGTCCTCTAGTAAAGAATTGATTTTTGTTCATATTAATGGCCACAGTGCTAAAATCACTAATGTGATTGGAAAAGCTGAATCGTTTCTGATTTCTTTTCTTGTTTAACCCGAATTTCAAAAGCCCATATGCTGAAATACAGATGAACTTTGCGTATATGTGTACAACACTAATTTTTGACCCGTTATGTATTCAGACTATATTAATATTTTTAGCATTTTAAATATTTATTTGAGTTATTTTAATAGGATTTAGCCTATTTTTCACTTTTAATATAATTGCACAACAAAATTCAAAAACACAAATAAAATTTTATTTTGTATTTTTTTACCTCATTATATATCTTTTTTAAGAATATTAGTCTTTGATAGTAATATTATTTTAATTTTGCAACAATTTTAACCTAATTCTATTTTTATTTTGGTATGATATTTGAAAAATACCAAAAATAATTTTATTTTAACAGTTAGTTTTATTTTAATAGTTTATTCTATTTAACTAGCACTAATTAATATTTTGATAGTAGTATTTTTATTTTTATTTTTATTTAATAGGCAAGAGTCGATATTGGGTTGATAGATTTTTGGTTAATTAGGCCAATTTTGAGGGAGAAATTCAAAAATAGCCAGATTTACCACTGGTCGTTGAAAAATAGCCAAGTTTCAAAAGTCATCGAAATTTAGCCACTTTAAATCTGAGCGAAAACACTTTTCAAAATCCGAAAAAATACGCCCGTAAATTTTACGGGAGTTCCAGCAAGTATAATTGTCCAGTATAATATACTGGAGTTTGGAGCACTGGTGCTCCAGTCTCCCGCAAATTTTACAGGAGTTAGCAAAATATACCGGTCCAGCATAATATGCTGGAGTTCGTACACAAATGCACCAGAACTCCCGTATATTATACTGGACCGGTCCATGTTGCAGCAAAATAGTGACTATTTTTCATTGACTTGATAAACGCCGGCTATTTTTCATTGACCAGTGTGAAAGCTGACTATACCATGATATTTTAACCAATTTTGAGCACAAATATGGCCACCAAAGGCCCAAATCGGACAGCCCACTCCCCATCAGATTTTCAACACTACGAAAACCTAACATTTTTTCGGGACTCTCGGAACTCGAAGAAAGAAAATTGAAAAAAAAGATACACACACACAGAACTAGAGAGAGCAGCCGCCACCCTCAACGAACTCCAGCAGCGGCGCCACCCAATTTCACCGGGAACAGCCGCACCACCAACCCTCTTTCCGTCATTAATTCGCCGGAAACACACACAACATCAGTAATCTTTCTTCCTTTTATTCATACTCCAATTTCTTCCATAGCCACCTAAAGAACACTAGGTTGCTCCTTGGTCACTAAAAAATTCAAGGCCAAGTACAAAGTAACGCCTCTTTCAGTCATTTCTGCGATTTCCTTTCCGGAAAATTTTGTCGTTCTCGTTTGAAGTTCTGATTAGCTCGAGAATTCCGTTAGGGGTGTCCATTCGCGGTTTGCAGTCTCCGCTCGAGGTTCGGGTGCCGTTCTTGCTTGCCGATTTTATTTTTCAATCAAGGTTCAATTCTTCTATCTCACTCTTTGTTTCAAATGAATTAAAGTTTGATTGATTATCTGATTCATGTCTCTCCGTGTTGGTCTATGTTTAACATGAATTTGAACTTAATTTGTTGTCAGATTCTCGTCCCTTTTGTGCTTAGAATTCTCTGTTGGCAGTGACATTTGATAGCAAAGATGAAGGTGAATTAAGTCTTAAGATACTCTTTTAGAAAAAGAATAGTTGCGAAATTAGATACAAGATTCTAAGTTGGAGAACTAAGGAGAAATAATAGGCTGTGGGATTTGTGGGCTAAAATGAAAGTGAATTAGGCTAAAGTGATATTGGATTGAGTAACGATTTCAACTGAATTTTGTGACGATTGGAGTTGTATATTGTTTGGATCTTGCTTATTGATGTGATTTTGGGTCGTTAAGAGCATGTTAGGCCGTCATTATTTGGGTAGGCAATCTTAGGTTTTTTTCTATTTATTCGCGTTTGGTTTCGAGCTGAGAGGTCACCCATTTAGTTAGTTAATTCAACAGGGGAATGCCCCGTGTAATTTGTAAATATTTATCCGGGAAATGCCCCATAGAATCATGTAATCGGAGGTCGTGATGAGTATTGCGGAGGAAGTGTAGTGTAGGTAGTTTAAAACTTTAATTTTTCTTTTTTTCTTTTTATTTTCTTTATTTAGGCAGGGGCAACCTCGAAGCCTTTTGTGTGTTTATTTTTGTATTGTTTGTTTTTGCCTCAATTCGAATATCCTTTAAAGCCAACTCGATCATGTACACAACCGTGAGTTTTATGAGACTCGGGAATGCCTAACACCTTCTCCTCGAGGAAAATGAACCCCTTATTTGGAATCTCTGGTGCCGTCAGTTTTTAGAGTCAAATGTGTTTTGAAGGAAAATTTGTATTTTTTTTTTATAAAAAAATGGTGACCTGGCCCAACGAAATCAAATGTCAGGTGGTGGCGACTCTGAAAAATCCTTCAAAACACAATCTTTTGTCACTTTTCAAATTGAAAAACCCTTTTGAGCTTTAAAATCACTTTTTATCTATTTTAATGGGGTTAAGAGGTAAAAAAAAGGGGGTGTGACACCATGTCGTCTAAAAATTTGAACTTCTATTTATTTCACTGCTTCCTTTTTCACAGATTGTAAAATTGTGAACAATTCACCACAAGAATTAGAAGATTTTGTTTGTCTTGTGAATCAAGAACTGATTTTTTCCCCTTTAGGTAAGGTAGTCACTAGGCTGGATCAGGTGGGTGGTGAACAAAGCTCAAAAGATTTCTTGGAAGTTGTGAAAGAGAACATCACATCAAAGTTTAAAATGTTCAAAACACCGACTTCTTGAAAGTTGTGAAAGTTATATATAAAATGATTGGTTCAAATATTGTGGAACATCTCAAATAAAAAGAGTATCAGATAAATTAGAAAGGACGGAGTATTTATTTTAGGCTGTCTTTGAACCCCTGCCTACTTTGATACCATGTCGGAATTAGTGTATTGTCATCAGTGAAAAGAGTATCACATAAATTAGAAAGGACGGAGTATTTATTTTAGGCGATCTTTGAAGCTCTGCCTACTTTGATACCATGTCGGACTCTGTTTACTGTCATCTAAAAGGCAAGACACCTTTTGTTTATTTAATTTAGGTCTTTGCAACGAAAGAAAGCTAGCTGCAAATGGAGTTTTGCCCAGATTGTTCAATGTTACTGCAGTATGAGTTGCCTCATATGGATCGTCCAGCCAGATTCTTTTGCCCTTCGTGCCCTTTTGTATGTAACATAGAGACCCGGGTAAGATAACCAGAAAAATTTGTTATAATTGATAATGCTTGATAGCTTTTAGTTCCTTTGATTATCTGTTCAGTTGGTTTACTTTTTTTTAATTACACCTTTTTTGATAGCTTAAGCTGAAGAAAAAGCAAGCTTTGGTAAAGAAACAAATGGATCCAGTGATTTCGACAGATGACATGGAGAATGCTTCAACAGCTGAAGGTCTTAGCACTTTCTGTTCCTATAGCTTCTTGGTATTTTCATGATTTGCTGCCACTGCTTTCATTCTTTGATCTAAGAATTAGTTGTTCGATGAGCTAGTGTTGTCCTCTGACTAATAGAATATGTCTTGACCAACTTTTCCTCATCTAAAATTAATAACCAAATTGTTGCTGATTATTTCGAAAAACCTCTGGAGTACTAATAGTTAGAGAAGAAAGATGTGCATATATAATATTGAATGTTTTATGTTCTTGTAATTGGTTGTCCATTTGAGTTTAATGGGCTTTAGAACATAGGGTATAACTAGCTCTTGACTCCTTGTTTTATAAGGATAAAGCAAAACTTAAAGTATCAGTAAATATAGGCCCTTCCTCTAAGCACTTGTAATGGATTGAATATTCTGATAGGATTTTATATTACTGGAGTAATAATTAATATAAAAAAATAAACTAATACTTCATATATTATCATTTGACAGCTGATATTTGTTGGTTGTGTGGTTGAATGTCTCTGAAGTGCACTTTTGATTCTTGCAATCACATTCTTTTTTTATTAATTTGTTGGTTTTGTTGATTGGTCAAAAAAAAAAATCTTCTTCTATTAATCCTTTCATGTCACCTGTTTGTTGTCCATAATTCTATAAGTCTTGAGTATTAATTATGTTGTCTTGGATTTTTGGTTCTAGGTTGTTGAGACAAATGAATTGATTAGATTCAATAACTTGTCTCCTTGGCCATATATTTGATTTTCTTTTACGGAGATTTACTCGACTAATTTTTGTAGTTGATGCTTATGTACAATCTAATTAATCGAGTAGCCTCTTGCAGAAATGCAAGGTAAGGCTGCCTACAATAGACCCTTGTGGTCCGGCCCTTCCTTGGACCCGTGCATAGCGGGAGCTTAGTGCACCGGGCTGCCTTGATTCATATGTAGGTGTGTACATATACGTAGATTGAGGTAATTTTGATAAAATCACTTTGACAGTTTAAAATTAGGGAATGTCGGTACGAAACTGTGATGGTAATACTTGTAATATCATGAGATTATTTGGTCAAAGGAATCCATGTTAATGCTTGGATTTACTCCTTTATGTCCCTTCTTTGCCTTCCTCTATATACAGATGCAACTTTGGCAACATTATGGTGTTGCCTTTATTCAGTATTGTCATGCTGCATATTGTATAAGAATACAGATGGTGCACCAATGTTTATTTTCCAACATAAATTTCAGCCTTGAATGGAATAGCTGTCTGCTTAGTGGTTATTTTATGTCATATTGGCGGATTACACAACTTTTACGAGTTGCTTGGGGGCAGGGCTTAAGATAAAGTTATTGTGCTTGCAATGCTAGTTTTTGGACAATCTAATTCACACTTTTCTTGATAGGCTTATAGCTTCAATTTCTTTTTTCCTTGGTTCATGTTTGCTGTTCTTCCCTATTTTGTCCTTTTCTGTATTCTTCGATGAAGATGCTATATGAACAAGAGGGTTCACCTAATTAATGCTTTGATGAGTTGGTCTGAAGAAAAATGGAGTAGGGAATTCTACGGAAGGCCAAGTACTTGCAAACCTATAGGATCAAATTTGTTTTATCTTCGTCATTAGTTCACATGAGGGGTACTAATTAACAGCTATGAGTTAGAAAATTTAAGATCCGACTGCCCCTTCTTTCCCATGTTGTTTGACTTATTTCTGTTGAGTATTCTCCAAAAGATGGATCTCTTTGCTAAAATGGCAATATTACCATCTTGACAATGTCAAACCAACATGTAATAACACCCTCTGTCCAAATTAACCATGATCCTTTCTTTAGGTTGTCTCAAAGTTGTGTTCAATAAGTGTTTTGTTATGGTTTTTGACACTTCTGTTATTCAACTATCAAAAGAGCACCATGCACCTATAAAAAAGTTTACAGTCTTCAAATCTTTCTAATTTGGGAGTCATTTCTATTTAAGTATAAAAGAACTCCAACTCTTTTTTAGTAATGGTGCTGCCCCGACAAGAAAGACACTTAGATAGGAATAAACAGAGTATCTAGCAAATTCAAGTATTACAAAACATTCAAATTTTCTCTTTTAATCTCTGAAGATCTACTCAAACCAAATAAAGAGAGGTAAAGGGAACATTATGAATTGGTCGTTTGGTATTTGTAATGATGACGATCTTGAGCAGCTAAAAGAAGATTCTTAGCGTTTCTGTTTCTGAGGAGATAAACATCTGTTTGAATATGTGTGTGTGTATTTGTGTGATTACCTTTCTAATTGGAACTTGTAAACGAGTCCAAGAGTTCTTTTAGATGGTCGTAGTAAGTGTTGTGATGCTTGAACTTTATATGCTGGAGGCATTAATGTTGCTACCAAAAACATATATGTTGGAGTTATTTTTGTTTGACACCAGGCTACAATTTAGGGCTGATATGCATCTTTTTCTCTTGTCTTTTTATCGTTTTATTCGTTCTTGGCAGTGCCGTGTCCAGCGTGTGGTTACAGGGAAGCAGCATATTATCAAGTGCAAATAAGATCAGCAGATGAGCCCATGACTACATTTTACAAATGCAAGAATAAGATGTGTGGCAACAATTGGAGAGAAGACTAAAATGGTTTAGGACAACTGTATCCTTCAATAGTTTGCTGGGATAATTTCTCGATTTGTGCGTATAATCCTTGTGCAAGGGCCATGCTAATCTTCTGTGCATCATTCCAATTTTGTCGGATGTCCCCAGAGACACATGCATCCTTCAATAGTTGTGTACTCTAAAATCCAAACTTCGGTCCCAAGGGTTCAATTTGAACTTGTTGCTAGGAATTTGTCATAATGCTGTTATAAGCTATGTTGCGCGGACTCTCCAAAATACCGCCGCACCCATGTTGGATCCTCTAAAAATACGCTAATTTTGGAGGATCCGGCACGCACCCAATGATATTTCTGAAGAGGCCGTACAACATAGGTTATAAGGTGCTGATGTGGTGCTTAACTGCTAGGATTTTGTAGTACTTTCCAATGGAACAATTACTGTTATGGACTAAATTAAATTGTAGTACAACAGCAAAATTTGTAGATTACAGGAATTTTTGCTCTAACTATAGTAATCTGACTCTGATTCTCATTGTACTAAGTTCTGTTCGAGACAGTCCAATGTGCTTGAGAAGAGGCTTTTAAAGTACCTGTTTGGCTTCTACACTGAAATTGTAGTATGCACCGAGTTTCAACTCTGTAATGGATAGTAAAGTTGGTAGTGTCTTCAAATATTGACAGTGTTTAAAAAGCTAAAAATGCAAAAAGCTACAAGGTCTATAGGGCTTCAAGCATAAGAGGACAGTGCATGCTTCTTCAAAGTGAAGTGCTCAATTCACAGGAATTACATAAATTGCCCTGACTTGGAATTGTTCTAGTTCTGCCTTGTGGTCATATTAATTGGTTCTGAAAGCACTATCTTTTACTTGGACTACAAAAATGCATTCTTCGAGATCCCCACGGAGCGATAACTCTTCGCTTTAAAATCGAAAATGGATTTGATTGAAATGGGACCGCGAAGACAACCCACCACTAGAGCTTGCTTTGCTCTCGCTCCGTTCGCTCCCACCTGTCTTCTTCCCTCAACTGAACGGGGGAGAGTGAGTTTTGGCGATAAACTGGCTATTATTAAGAATTAATTAAAATAGCCGTCTACTCAATTGCTTAAATAATAGCTGATAGATGTATAATATATGTATACTACAGACAGAGCTTTCTATGACAACATCCTTATTTAATAGTCATTCATTATAAAAGCCAAGTTTTTCTCGGATAGATTTTGTAAGTTTTATTTTACCTCTATGATAGCTTTTTTTATCTATAACAACAACAAGCATATTTATAGCAAAATGCTTTTTGTAAAATTATCCCTTTATAACACCCGTGTAGAATTTTAAAGATTTTACTAACAATAATTCTAAAAATTTGCACAAAATCTTTTCCATAGACAAAGTTTACATCTTGCAAAATACATAAGATTTTGAAGATTTGCACATGATATCCTTTAAGGAAAAACTTTCAGATACCCTTTTGCTAAAAGTTTGGATACAGATCTTCATGAGTTCACACGTTATATTCTAGTAAGAGAATGAAATCTATGAACAAGCTAAATTATAATGTTTTTCCATCAATCTTAAGAGTATTTATTAAAGTGTCGTTGAATTTAAAGCTTTGTACGTTTAGTTATGAATTTATAATATATTAGTAATTTAACTCCTTTTTTTTTAGTTTTGAAGTTATATTTTGGGAACGCATCATTTCTGCTTCTCCCAGTTCCACAGTTAAGGCATCTTTATCATTTATAAGACTATGATATGCATCAATTAAAACAGTTGCTAAAGACATAAGTTTTTTCGGAGAATAAGACTAGATTTTTTTGAACATCTAAGAAGTTTACCTCATCATCATCGTCGTCATCTCCATCATCACTGCGCCATCAAGGCAAAAATGGACTCATACTCAGCTCCTTCACTTTCCATTGCCATCATGGAGCTATCACCTTGATCATCATCTTCTTCAGATTCGCTGGAAGAGTTTCCCCATGCAGCAAGAGCTTGTTTCACAACATTGTCAGCGGCATCTTTTCTCTTGAATAGTTTGTCAGGAAACTGGTTCCTCTTAGCTGCTTTGTCAGTGTTGTGTTTGTATTGATCTTGCTTGAGAAGAGCGCAATCCTTGATGAAGTGTCCTGGCTTGCCGCACTTATAACATAGGTCATAACCTTTTGGCTTGCTGGAGCTGCCTCGTTTTGGAATGCCTCCATTTCTGCGAACCATTTTCTGAAACCTTTTCGTCAGGTAGGCCATATCGGCATCCTCACCAGCTGAGTCATTGTTGTCCGTCTTGAGGACCAGGTTCTTCTCCCTTTTGGGCTCTCTTCTCTCATTATCCTTCTTCTTCTTCTTCTTCTTCTTCTTCTTCTTCTTCTTCTTCTTCTTCTTCTTCTTCTTCTTCTTCTTCATTTCATATGTCTTGAGATTGCCGACAAGTTCATCAATGGTCAGCTTCTGAAGATTCTTTGCCTCTGTGATGGCATTTACATTACTTTCCCAGGAACCAGGTAATACACTAAGTATCTTCCTAACAAGTTTGTTCCTGGGGATGATCTCTCCCAGTGAGTGAAGCTCATTGATGATAGATATGAAGCGAGTGTGCATATCCTGAATGGATTCATCGTCCTTCATTCTGAAAAGCTCATACTCTATGGTCAACATGTCAATTTTGGACTGCTTTACTTGGGTTATCCCTTCATAAGTTGTTTGGAGAGCTTCCTAGATTTCCTTAGCAGATTGGCGTGCTGAAATTTTGTTGTATTCATCAGGACTTATCCCACAGACAGGAATTTTCTTATCCCAAAAGTTCTTTTCAATGGCCTTGCGGCCAGCATCATTATATTCCTTTCTTGTTTTAGGAACAGTCACTGCGGGTTCTCCAATGGTCTTGGTAGGTACGAAGGGTCCATCGCAGATGATATCCAAAGCTTTGAGTCTTTACCCATGATAAAGCCGTGCATCCTTGTCTTCCACCATCCATAATAATGGTTGTTGAACCTTGTGCTCTGTAGGTAGACCGACCTTCTTCGAAGTTTGGCGGAGCAGCCATGAGGATCCTTTCTAGGTGTTAGCCTGCTAGAAAGTACCTACTCTGATACCAATTGATAGAAACTAGGGGTCTACCAAACTATATAGAAAACCAGGTTCTATATTAGTTACCAGAGAACACACGCACACTGCAGTAAGTAAATGACACAATGGAGTTTTACGTGAAAAGCTCCCAGCTCACGGGATCAAAAATCACGACCTACCCTTGTAGGATTTCAACTTCACTACTGAGCAAACTTTAGATTACAAACTATTGTAACCTAGGAATTAACCTCTTAATCCCTCACTAACTTGTATCAACACTATTACAAGCCACTTTGTAATAACTCTATTACAAAGACTTTACATCTCGACTAACTCTATCCAAGACACAAACACACATGTTTATGATTTACAGAAGTTCCCTACACAATGCTTCTAACTAAGCTAAGTAGGAATTATAAGTAAAGTGCTTTAACAAAGGTACAACACAACTAGGACATGTAATAACTTCAATGCATAAAACTGGTCCTTGGTTAAGTTGTTCTTCGTTCTTGATGCCCTTGAGAATCACTTGCAATATTGACACAGACTTGAGAGAATGCTTGATGAGTTCTTGAATGTGCAAGTGATTTGTTTTACCTTTGCTTGATGTTAATATCTCATTTGTGACATCGTTTGGATGATGCAAGCATGTTAGGTAAAGGGCATTCCCCATAAAGTTGACTGCTGCACTGTTTCTGCATTGTAGCGTGTGCAGGCAGCAACTTTACAATTGGGGGAGTTGACTTGTACAGTCACCTCGGGAACTAGTAACTATCTGTTCCCTCTGCTGTTCCTTCTGTTGTTCCTTTGACTCTGAAGAGTTTGACCGTGTCTCCAACTGGAGACTTGTTGATCTTTAAGTCCTTGAGGATGTGTATCAGGTTCCTTATCTGGTTCTTCATAGTAAGTTTGTTAGATCATCAAAACATAACATGTATACACATATAACCTACCACTTTTCTTTTCCCATTCAATGTCCAATAATTGCTTTGGAACTCGACTAAATTCACATGAGATAAAACATTCTCTAACAAAAGTAAGTTCATACCCAAGGATTGAATCCAAAAGCTTTGATTAAGAATGAAGGAGTACTTAAAACTCAACTGCAACTCTTTATTGGTGGCCCTCTTAATTTTACATTCTCTTCCTTTCCTCTTACTAATGCTTATTTAGATTTGTAACACTTTTCATATTTAGATATCATTACATATCCAGAATTATTTAACGAAACAATAGTCTTAAAGTTTAAACATTATTTTGTGGTACCAGGGCTCATACTGACAATTAGGGGTGTACATGGACCGGATTGGTTCGGTTTTTATCGAAACCAAACCAAACCAACTCGTTTTTGTCGGTTTTTTCAAATTTTTCGGATTTTTTTTTGTTATATGAATATTATTTCAATCTTACTTTGTTAAATTTTTTATAAGTAAATTAAATATATGTTTAGTAAAAATTTAAAAAAACGATAAATATATGATCTATTAAAATGTTCTTATGGAAGAATTTTTTTAGTAACACGTGATAGTTTATTTTTTAATCGCCTGACAATAATTTTACGTTGATGTACACTTTCAAGGTTAACCGAATTTAATAATTAAACATAAAAATAAATATGAACCTATATAATGATATCTTCTATTTAGTTTTAAATTATCGAAATACCATTTCAAATTCGAAAAAGATATAAGATTTAATAGAACTTGACATATGAATATGGAAGAACAAAGAGATTGACGCATTTCACTAACACTTGATAAGAAAGTGGTCATATAACCCACTATTTTAACTTAATAAATATGGAGCACTTCATATTTAACCAAATATTACATCCCATAAGAGAATTGCAAATATTTATAGATAATTTTTAAAGAAAATTCTATAAAAAGTCTTAAAAGTATATGTAAAAATTATATATATTTATATGTCGGTTTGCACTACTAGAAAACTATCAAAAATCGTCCATAGAATTCCGACCGAAATCGGTCAGAAAATAGGTAAATTGCTCGCAAAAGTCAAAGAAAAAATTTCACACAAACATACCGACCACCATAGGTCGGAAATAGTGGTCCCACAACAAAGACGTTGACACATATAACTATTCCGACCGATATCGGTTAGTAATTGGTCAATATTTGACGAAGACCTGGTGATACTTAAATTTTATCTACTAAAATAAGTTTAATTAAAATTCAAGTATACCCACTGAAAATCGGTCGGAAAATTTGAATTTATTTTTTCCCGCCTAGGATTAATTGGTTTTTTCCATAACCAAAATTATATATATGTATAATTTACCGACCGATTTCGGTCGGTATTATTATTAGATTATTTGTTATTTACAATATCTACATATATATAACAATACACAGACACTCTCTCTCTCTCTCTCTCTCTCTCTCTCTCACACACACACACACACACACACACACACACACACACATATATATATATATATACACACACACACACATACACACACATAGTCTTGAATGTTTTATTCTCGATCACCTTATTAGTACTT